CTCCATAATTATGTTGACAACATTATTCTGTTTGAACTGGAATTAGATTTTAAAAGTAAGTAACGACATAAATTGGTTAGATTAAATTAAATTGGCTGTCAATGCTGTTGTTTAACACTGCAATATTAATATGAAGATCTCAAACTAAAAACCACCTTAAACTATGCATTAATTGAAGTTTGGAGACATTTTAAAATGCTTTTTTTCAGAACTGCGAGGTGGGGGGGGTACGACTGCTCTTCTTCTGAATAAATGAAAACTATGTAACACAGTTGTTTACACCTCAATTAAAAATATTTGACCAAAGAAAAGCCAGAGCAGGACTAGAGAGATAAATATGATTTCTAATTTTTATTTCTGTGTCTGTATACGGCCCACAGGAGACACAACATTAACAGCAGTCATCATTTCATTCCTCGGCTTTAGCAGGTCTGACGCTGCTAAAAATGACAGATTTTTTCTTTTCTGGATCTCTGAAAGCAGGACTTCAATCTCCAAACTCGTAAAGTTATTTTTTCCTTTGCGATGTCATTTATGAATGGACACATCCTGGTATGTGGGGCAGGAAATGTTACCTTATATGGTGTTTTGGGGTGGTAATTATGTTAATCACCTCTCCCCGTGCACGAGCAGCTGATACACTTTCATCAGTTTACGCAGCTCATTTACACACTTTTCCTGAAGATAGAAGAGTTTGTTGAATCTGACGTGACATGTTCATATGAACCGTTCGTACGACAAAAGTAAGAGAAATTTAGGATAAAAATACAAACATGTTCTTGCATGAGGCCCAATGTTTGGACTGAAATTGAGTTGAAAACTGGTCCTGGTTTATGCTTGACGTCTACACCAGTCAGATATTAAACACTTTGTAGTATAAATATAGTTAAAAAAACATGAAGTCGTTACCTCAAGGAAGGGGGTTTTGTTTCTGATGTGTTGGTTTGTTTGTCAGTCTGTCTGTGCACAAGATTGCTCAAAAGTTTATGAATGGATTTTCATTCAACTTTCAGAAACCGTTGGAGTTGTCACAAAGAACAACTGATTCAATGTTGGTGATAATCTGACAACAGCTCACTGTGATCTGGCAAAAACAGAAACTGAAACAGGAAACTGGTACAAGAGCCAGAGGCTATGTTTTAGTGACGATGTCATACTGTGATAGCCAATCAGCATCCAGCAGAACTTTGTTCCACCAATCACAGCTCAGCTTCTCTTGTTTACATAACCTAGGTAGGCGTGCACTTTCTGAGTGCTTCTACTTTAATAACCCTTTCAAATACAGTATATTAACTTTCCAGTGCCTATTTCACCTGTTTCATCAAGACACAAAACAGGACAAAACATAAAATACAGGATACAAAAGATTCAACCAGGAATTCAAATTAAAAAAATAATGTTTTTGTAATTAAACTCTCCTGGTCCTTTTTTATAGGTAGAAATAAAATAAACAAAGAGACCCTTTACCTCTTTGTAATTTATTTTTTAATGATCAAATTTGCAACAAAATGATGTTTAATGATTTGTTTGATTATTCTCTGAAACTATTTAAAGAGAATAAAGTGTTTGTTTGTTCCATTTGATGAAACAGGAACAATTACCAAATCCAATAACTTTGTCACACATTATTAAAACATGATTAATTAGAGGAGCGTTTTTGTCTCCAATGTGTCCCAGAATACAGTATTTATTAAACGGGACTATTTATTGTGATGTGAACACATTTGTGAACAACAGAGATGCACAAAAAAATAAAGAATAAAAATTAAATAATAATAATAAATAAAACAGGCAGGATTTTTGCTTCATACAGGATCAGGGTTGCAGATTCAGGATCAGGTGTGTTTTCTTTTCATCACCTTCAATAATAACATCACACAGGCCTGCTGGACGCTTGTGGTCACACAGGGTGTTTCCATGGTGACGGCAAGCTCCGGCCAGGCCAGCATCATGGGCCGGGCAGGTGGGGCTGCTGCTGCCACTGTGACCTACCGATAGCATTTGGCATCTGGTTCCAGCTGAAGTGGAAATCCGAGGTGTTGGACTGGATCATCGGTGTGGAGCCGTTGAACGGGCAAACTTTCTTGTAGTAACAAATATCTGGGAAAACAAAAAGGTTACATTTTGACAGTCTAACCCAGGAATCTTGATACTTTGGAACAATCTGACAGATTTCTTTTTGCAGCGATAAAGAAAAAAACCATTCAGGTTCAGCTTCGACAGTGGGGACATGAACCCGAATCGTATAACATTTAAAAATGTTAAAAGTCAAAGGGGGGAACTCACAGTTGTAGCATAACAGCAGACCTGCCTCACCGTCTTCATAAACATCGATGGCTGCTACAAAGTTTACCTGCAGGCAAGGATAAGTCACTGAAATAAAATCACTTGTGCAAGAACAAAAGGTTAGGTTAGGTTCTAAACAAATCTATTGTCAAGTTACATTCCTGTAATGCCATCTGAGACATTTCAAACATATCTACATTTGTTCATCTCGTCACGTCTCCTGCCTCTGAATTAGGGCTGAAAGATTTTACAAAATAATCTAATTGTGATTTTTTTATCTATAAATTGCAATTGTGATTTAATTTGCAATTATTTTTTTAATGTCAAGTATTGTTCAACAAACAGAAGCAACAAATCAATCTGTTTTATAAAAAAACAAAGTAAGATTTACTTAAAGCAGATTACAAAAAAGCAAACATGTCTGTGACTTTACCTTTTCATCATTTCTAATTTTTCTTGTTTCACATGATATTAAACATGTTAAGTGAACTTCCTAAACACTGAACTTCACAGGACAGTCTATAAATAAATAGAAAAAATATATAAATAAAAAATAAATCTTTCCAGCCAGTAGAATCATGAAATAATAAAATGCAAAAAACATAAAGAGAATAAATCGGCTACATCTGCTTTAACCAACTCGTTATTTTCTAGGAAAATCAAACTCAAGTAGCTAGATTACATCATCACCTAATATGTTTGCCAGTAATTGTGATCTGAGGAGAGATGTTAAAGAGAAAACAAGTGAAGAAAAACACTAAATATCTTTAAAACTGCAATTAAACCTAATGAAATAAAAATAATTTTATGTCTTCAGTGCTTAGATCCACATTATATAAATTAACTGGTGATAATCTTAAATTTAATTTGCAGATTGTTAGATGTCACGAGGCATAGGGAGGACGAGGTGAAGCTGATCTGTGAGTCAAACACAGCTGGGTCCAGACATGTGTTTTACAGCGACAGTACCAGAGAAAAATCATTACATTAAATATTATTTCCCGCTTTGTAAACCAGGTAGAAGCAGTGGCGGCTTTGCGTGATTCATTTGCAGCGGTCTCCTCTCAGCTGACAGCGGCCATGTGTGTGTGTGTGTGTGTGTGTATGTGCGCACGTGTTGCTGACTCGGGCCGCTTAGGAAGGGGGAGGGGCGCACTGCGGAGGAGGTGAAAAGTTCTCTCGTCAAAGCTTCAAAAAGTCGCTAAAAACACCGGGAAAAGTCGCCAGATTTGTCACTAGTCGCCTTTTGGAACACAAAAAGGCACTAGGTCTAGCGACAATGGTGCTGTTAGCAACACTGCTCCGCTAGGCTCACTCCCAAGTCACGTGACCATTCAAATCACAGCCTGTGTGGTTAGAAAATCTTGTTTTAACATTTCGCGAGATTATCGCAAATGCGATTAATCGTTCAGCCCTACTCTGAATGATGACGTGTGGATTGACCTGAGCTGCCAGATAATCTGCAGCTCACAGAGTCAGCAGGTTTTAATGAACATCACAGTGAAACAGAAAATAAACGAGATGTATTCTTCACCCTGTTGGCGTCTACGTGGTGGAGCCGATAGGCGTCCCCGGTGCTCTCGTTGATCAGGTCAAACTGATGTTTGTAGGCCACGCAGATCATGTTGTCATTTTCCCCCGTTGGACCGTCCACCAGGGCCATCACCACGGGCAGGTCGCACAGACAGATCTCCTGAGAGGGGTGGGTGTTGGGGGGAAATACCCATGAATGATATCACAATTTGTTCAGAGACTCCAAATTTGCAGTTTCCGTAATTCTGCTGTGGATTCCAACATCTGCCAAACCATTAAATAACACAGAATTAACTGTAGAAACACTTTTCTGTGATTTTCTCTCTTGAATTAGGTTATTTTACTGTAGACTGTAAGGATACAAACATCTATGAAGCTGTAAAGGATGTGGAATCTGCAACAACTTAATCAAGTCTGGAGTTTTCAGAAGTTTCGACAAAAACTGGGTAACTTGGGTTTTTCAAAACCACAATATTTGCCTCCATGAGTGCCCTGCTTTGGGTTTAAATGGTTGATACAAAACTCTCTAAAAGGTCAGCTGATCCACAGTTCTGCAGCTGAAGTTCTGATGAGAGTTAGAAGGAATTATTATTAACTTGACACAAAAAGTAAGGAAGTTTGTGGGATGAGGAGTAGAGCTGAGTAGGTGGGTTGAGCACATGAAAAATGAGCCAAATCTTCTCTGCCAAACAGTTTATTCTGCTGTCGATGTTAACACTTGTTTTGAGCTTCTGGTTCTCCCCAGGTGCTGCTAATCAGGTGCCCAGTATAAGTTAAATTGCCAAGAAGCTTTGCTACAAAAAGACCAAACACATACTGTATTTCCTTACTTTGTGTAGTAAATGTATTTATTCAATTCTAGCTTTTCCTAGATAAATCCCATGGGTTGGTTTGGATTTCCTGAGCTACCCCAGGGTAAAGACTTAGACTGCTGGAGGACAAACTAATCTCACTTCCTCACTTTGCTGCCATTACTCGCTGAACTCTCCTTATTTCTTGTTATTATTTCTATCATTAACATGTTTTTCTTTGCGTTCTTCCCACAGAATCTACACCTGGACCAACCATTCTGTGTTTGTCTGTCAGCTGGTTGAAGCAGATGGCTGCTGGAGGTTTCTTCCTGTTCCAATAGAACCATTTCTTTCTACTGTTGACAACTTGCTGCTAAGGATGAGGGATTCCACCAAAATGGAGATTTGATGCAATCTGCCGACTTCCTCAGACAACTTTTCTCCTAATTGACATTTTATCATGTACTGCATGCGACTGCACCGTACCACGACTGGACTGAATTCACTGTAATTGGATTTGAATCTAATTGAAATGAACACTATTTTTGCAGTTTGGTAAATCGATAAGAAAACTTGTGAACTTTCATTCTAAAAGAAGAAAGATCATTCTTAACTTTCTCGTGTTGAACTTGTCATACCCGTATGTACTGAAATTCCTCGACAGGAGAGTCAGCTCGCGAGGCAACAGCACTGAAACCAGGATGTTTCCTGGTTATTAGGAGGAGTTTGGTCCTGATGGCCGCTACTATTCTTAGCTCCGAGCCGTGGTGGGTGTTGATAGAGTACAAATGACAACCTGGATCAAGAAGGAAGGAGAGGAAGAGAAAAACGGAAGAGGTTGAAATGCAATATATAGTAAAGGTGCAGTTCCTCAGCGCCCAGCTAGGAAAGGCAGACATTTCACCAGTCAACATAAAAACACTCCCCTTGTCACACTTTAAGGTGATTAGATTGTCTCCTTCTAACTGAAAAATCAATGAAAGCTGTTAAGCGGGCAGTCAGTCCTCAACGGTGCAATTTATTTACTCCGTCTGCCAAAGTTGATGAGAAAAAAGTTTTAAAAAAGTTTCTTCATCCAGTTGTTAGAATTTAATTTGGGATAAAACATAAAGCACTTACATCAGAAACAATATCAACTCCATATTTATATTATATTAATCAGAAATGTCTTGGGAATTAAAAAAAACAATTTAAAAAAATCAAGTTAAAACATACTTGGTCCTATCTAAAGACAAAATTAGTTAAAAAGTAACTAATCGATATTTGCTGGGTGTATCTGTTTAAAATTAAAGACAAAAATGGAAACCTGTGTTCAATAAAGCAGCCCTTATTATAACAAAAGCTAAGCACCACCTATTATCAGGCTAACATTTATCACATGAGTAAACAACTGTAAACATTTTAGTCTTATTTTATTTTTTGGCATCTAGATGCATTAAAAAAGCACATTAGTGTACATTAAAACCCTATCCCAAACACGTCAAAAAAGGTTCAGTACTTCCTGGTTGCTTTAAAACAGATATTAAAAAAGTAAAAATGGATGGTCATTTGCTTTTCTTTTGATATTCCTAATCCATATCAAGAAAAACAAATTGTATATATATATATATCTTTGAAATCAAAACATAAATTTGCAAAGAATAAGAAAGAGGAAAAACGGTCCGTCCTTTAATTTTTCTCTGACAGGTGTCCTCTGAAAGTATCTATTCCCCCCTAACAGAGGGGGGCGCTCATGAGGCAGATCTGCTTTATAAAACGTTCAGTTCTGCCGAAAAAGCTCAGAAACACAAAAATGTACATCCTTGAAGGAGACTGTTCTTCTTGTGGTTTTCAACCAAATAAACCACTTTTCTTGAACAAATATATCGCCTCAATATCTCTCAGTAAAAAAACTAGGTAAGATGTAGAACAAAAGTGGGCAATAAACTAATGTGCGTGGCCTGGAATATCATTTTACACTCCCTGCAACCACCCAGCTGTCAGCAAGACTTCAATTAAAACTTCACCAATTTTATTGCAACTTTTGGTCACCAACTAGTCTCCAACAGTCTCAGCCTGGTGAGGTACCCAAACTGAGAATGTCTGGTTTGATGTAAAGATGGCTGAACACAAGCAGCACCTATCCAACTTGAATGAGATGCAGTTTTGCCAAGAAAAATGAATAGAAATACCTGCTTTTTAGTATGCAAACACTTAAAATGAAATTTATTTTTCTGATTTTAAGACAACAAAACAAAGCAAAAAAGTACCAAAGGGGGGTGAATAAGTTAGCAACTTTGTTGTTGTAATGGCTTATTTGGTGCCTGGAGGCACCGGCTAAAATAAGCCATTACAACAACATTCTATACAAATTCACTGTATATAAGCCCCCCATTTAGATCGTAATGATAATCAGTCTCACTGTATGTATGAGTATCTTATTTCTTCCAAAGAACCTTCATGATTCCAGAGCTCTAACTTACACAATATATTGCCTTCTTATAGCAGGGGTTAGTTTGCTGCATGTGCAGTGGTGTGTTTGCCCGGTACCTTTAGTTTTCTCCAGTTTATTCTCCCTGCAGTCGCACTTGCTTCTGACAAGCTGCCTTTCCTCCAGGCACCTCTTCATGGCGCTGAGTCTGAACACGTAAAGCCGAGCATCCTTTCCTGGAGAGACAAAAGAAAAGCCGCTTCGGTTTTGCAAGAAGGTTACTCTTAATTTGCCGCCTCCGTTTTAAGCATCCTCCCACGGCCAGACAACGGCGGCGGGATTACGGCGAGGCTCGTCTTAAGACTTTGTGTTCTCCCACGAGCTTTATCAAAGCCCACACATGGTTGTGACAAATGTTTGCGCTGACATCACATAATCGCCGTAGATTCCAAGCCAGCCCTGTTTGTCAATATTAGGGTTGGCTAATCATCTTGCTGGCGAATTAATTACATGCTCCTCTAGCTGAAGCAAACATGAGACAAGTCCTGTCCAAAGACACTTCTCGTTTGTAAAGTTTGCATTATATATTTATTGCCCACCGCTGGATGCAAAGAAGTGATTGTGTGGTTTTATTTTTTAGCCTGTGTGTGTCTGTAGCGTTAGCAAAATAGCTCATGGGCCAGTTTTACCACTGCTGAGCTAACTATAGTGTAGTAGTGGCTGAGAGTCATTGTCAACACATACTCTGAGCGCTAACCTTAGAGATACTGTATATAATGCAGCTGGAGTGTCACTTGGTCACATGGTGTTTCCTTTTATTGTGAGGAGCTCTGATCAGTCAGTCTCATTCATTCTCTCAGGGGTCCTGCCACACAAACAGGCTCAACCTATGCAGGGCTGAGCGTTCTGTAGGTCAGCTTCTTTAGATCATAGCGACAGATCAATCTGTTTTCTGGACCAGTTAAGGTGGAGAGGGTAAGCAGCACAGCACAAAGAGATGACAAAAATTAATCAAGTGAAGACAATGAGAATAAGGACGAGGTGTAAACACTGCTCTGATTTAATGAGTACCGGTAGATGAAGAAAAAAAAAAAGAAAGAGTGGCGAGGAAATCGGTCTTTTGATGTGCAGGGAGGAAACACAAAGCCGTTTTGTCCCCTCGTTCAAAGCTCACCTTTGTCAGCTCGGGTGATCAGTAGGTCCTGAGGCTCTAGAATGTGCATCTGCTTCACGGCTATGCTTTTATCAAACACCTGCACTGGAGGGAGAGTCTGTGTCTCTGTGATACAAATCACATCATCAAAACAGGAGTTACAGAAAAAAAAAAAAAACAGAGACATTGACTGGGTTTCACTCACCACCATTGGTCAACGTCGGATCAGGGCCTGAAATGTGAAAAATCATCCACATTTTACTTGTAGCATAGACTTTTGTTTGATACTGTATGGATATTTAGAAAGACTTGTAAAATATGTTAATTAAGATTATCTCACCATCCAACAGCATGACCCCTGCTGTGTCTGTGGCTACCAGCAGAGACTGACCCCACGAGTCAGAGCACACAATCTCATACGGGAATGTGCTACAGAATGACTGGGACTCCCACGGCTGCAGTGTACAAACAGTAAGAAAATACAAACACTTACGTGAGAAGAAATTTGTATTAAACATATTTAGCTGACAAAGAAAATAAGTTGACAGGTTTCTGATCTTTATTATGAACAAATGATTTAACAGCCTTGCATTCCTTTAAGAAATGCTCATTACTGGCTGCCAGAGTTTGAAACCAAAATAATCTTGTGATGAGAAATGACTGAATTATAGCCATATTGGTCAAACCCATAAATATACCATTATGCACAATCTCACTCAATAAAGCAAGAACTTCCCACATAGTAGACATGTGTGGGCCAGATCTGGCACTGCTGGTTCACTGCTGCATGGCAAGTGGTTTGTCAATGGTGTGGACCTGGCAATGATGGCACTGTTTGTATAATGGCATGCCACTGCACGCCCAGTTGTAGTTTGGTTTATGTGGCCCAAATCTGCCAATGCCTCAACTGGCCCAGTTGTAGTATGGTTTATGTGGCCCAAATCTGCCAGTGCCATNAATCTGCCAGTGCCATAACTGGGCCAGTTGTAGTTTGGTTTATGTGGCCCAAATCTGCCAATGCCACAAGTGGCCCAGTTGAGGTTTGGTCAATGTGGCCCTAATCTGCCAATGCCACAAGTGGCCCAGTTGTAGTTTGGTTTATGTGGCCCAAATCTGCCAGTGCCTCAACTGGCCCAGTTGTAGTTTGGTTTATGTGACCCTAATCTGCCAATGCCACAAGTGGCCCAGTTGAGGTTTGGTCTATGTGGCCCTAATCTGCCAGTGCCACAACTGGCTCAGTTGTAGTTTGGTTTATGTGGCCTAAATCTGCCAATGTCACAACTGGCCCAGTTGTGGTTTGGTTTATGTTGTGCTGGCCCATGCATGGACCACCTCTGGCGAACCAGATCTGAGCCAGACATATTTTGCTTTGTTAGCCCTCACAGTACAAGCTGCAGACAACACTCATCCACAACCCCACAATGTTTTGGCTCAATATTAGTAAATTATATTAATTATAGACTGTGTGTTTGCTGAGGTCAGTGAACTCTGACACGTGTTTTAAATCATGCCGCTGTACATCTAATGGTTACTTTCTGAGAGTTTCATGAAAATCTGTCCTTTGGGTCAAGAGATATTTTGCTCACAAACACCCACACAAACACAGGCAAAAATATTATCGCCCATCTTTTGCCTTTTGGCGTTGGGCAACAATGACTGAGACCTCCTATTTTGAACCTTTTAAATATATTAGAGTAAAATATGTCTGCTACAATATTTTGATGACTAAAATCTTGACATCTGTAATTAGTGACTGTTAAAAGTTTGGTCGGTGTGATGTCTGAAATGCTGTCACCTCTTTTCTGCACAGGCCAGTGGTAACAAGGCTTGTTGGTGCGTCTCCTCTAACGATGGTCTTCAGCTTCAGAGCCTGAGTAACATATGACATTGGATAAAACCCACAGACACAAGGTAATCAGTAACTAATATCGTACTGGTGTGATACTGGTTTAATGTTCTTTTTCTGGAGCTGTTTGGTCTAAAATAAAAGTGAAATCATTTTAAAATTTAAACAGAAAGTAGTCAGTTTAGGCAGCCACCATTTGATCAGGCAAGAAATTGCCAATCTAAGCTTCACAGTAGGCCAATAGCATTTCCACATCTCCATAAGCAGGCAATCTGAAGATAATGAAATCAATACAGGCCAACTGTACAAAGGCTTAGTTGTGCACTGTGATGTGCCAGTATTAAAATACCCTTCATAATAAAACACATTTGGACATCAAGGAAAACACAATTTTTTTTGTGGTGACAACACAACTGCATTTTAGTGACATAGTAGTTTTGCCTTTTATTGATTTTAGGCTTTAAAGCACATCTTCCACAGCTCCATTTCTAAACAAGAGCAAAACAAACCACAATAATATGCTAATCAAATAAACTATATTCACATTGGAACATAGGAAATCTGTCAAATGTTTAAATAAGGAAATTGTTCTAATTTTTTGGGGGAAAATAAACTAAATTTGAAGTTGAAGCAAAACATCTAAAAAATGTTGAGAAAAGCCCATGTTTTATTCTTTATATATTGTAAAAATATGAAAGCATGTCAATGTATTTATGTATTTACACAAATAGATCGACTCAGTTTGCAAAATAATGGCACGTATAACAAGCTGTAAAATACACACACAGATCATTTCCAGTTGTCTTAGCACTGACAGCATTTAAATCCTAAATCTAGCATTTTTCTGCTTCAATCAGTTTAGCAAAAAAAAAAAAAGAATCCAAAAATAGTCTATTTTACTTTTTTTAATCTGAAATGAAAATAAATGTCACAAGTGCTTATATTACATCTTCCAGCCTCGTGCATGGTTATGAGTTTGTGCTGAAAAGCATGAAGAAGTTTCTGAGTTGATTAAAAATGTGTTGGTTCATTCATCCCAGTGTTTTCCTCTGTGTGTTTTGCTGTGCGGCTGAGAGCATTCGAGTGTTTCTCGCTGCTTCCAGCTCAGCTTTTGCAGATTTTACCTGCCCTATTCTGACAAACTCAGCCTGCCGCGCCTCCTCCTTCTTCCGCGCAGACTTTGGGGACTCAGGCAGCACGTCGCTGAAGGACCGCCGGTTTAACATGTTCTGGGGAGAAAAAGGAACCTAAACATGGAACACGCAAAAGGTGGAAACACACACACACACACACAAACACACACAGGGAAAGAGAAACAAAAAGGGGGCCTTAGAGACTGACCCCGACAGAAGCAACAGGAGTTAAACACAGCTTAAAACTGAGTCGTGTTAGGAGCAACAGTAAATGACAAAAGTGTGGTGGAAAACCCCAGGAGAAATAAGAGGGGAGGAAGGATGTGCGAAGAGGCAGCCCTGCTGAGAAAGTCAGCATTGCAGTGGTTTCCCGTCAGTGTGGTGCAGTATGCGGAGGCAAACTGAGGGCTGCAGTTAGATACAGCAGAGCACAACTCGGCACTGGCTGCTGGGGACGGCGAGAAGCCAGGAGGAGGTGGCTTGGATGGTCGAAAGTAACGCCCATCCAGGGCTCTGAATTGCTGCGGTACCTTGTACAGGTCAGGCGTGAGATCTTGGTAAAGCGAGCGGATCAACATGTCGAGGGTCCTCTGGCGTTTCTGGGCAAATGTAGGCGTCTCCAGTGTGGCTTTTTCTCCATTGATTACTGAAAGAGTCGGAGAATAATCCGATTGTTATAAACAAGTAAAAAAAAGACTTGCTTAATAGGAAGTCAATATTTTTCTTTAATTTTTTCCTCACATTTGACTAATAAAAAGTCCCTGAATTCTTGGTGATCAGTAAATACAGACGGAATTGGGAGAGGGGGTCCGAACAGCGGGACGCTTTCCTCCGAAAATATCTTCAACCTGAGGGAGAGAGCGTCTATGAGACAGCTGCGTCTAACAGAGCAGGTCAAAGCAAATCTCTTATGATGAAATCAGGCATTGATTAGAAAGGTTAAAGCAGCTTTTTTTTCTCCAAAAAGTTAAATCCAAACTCACCTGTAACTATCATTCTGGCTGTTGTACCTAACTAATGCAAAAATATCTGGAAATGAAAATATAAGGAGGAACTATTTATACAACAGAAAGTGTTTCAAAACATTGTCATTGCTGCCGTTTTATTTCTTTGACATTCCCAGTCCATGTGAAGGATACGCGTGAAGTGTGATCGAATCATAGACGGTTTAAAGGACGATGACGCCTCGTCTCCTTCCTGAAACACTATGGTAACAATGTCATTTCCAATGTGCCTCTTTCTCTCCACCTGCCACAAACACACAGAAATAAGACAACAGTTAAGAATGATGAAGCAGTATTTTATTTAAAGCATGAACTGACATGAAAAAATTAAATAAAATAAAAACCCTACCAATCTGTTAGCAGTAAATTAAACAATGTTTGTATATTGTGACACAGCAATAGGATTAAATCTGCATGTAAAATTTTGGGGACTATTTTCATCATGACTGATATTTAGGTTTGTGGGCATTTGCTTACATTAACCCACAGACACGTCCCACATAGCACACAGATGTGGGCCAGACCTGGTGTCCAGCTGGCCCTGCTGGCTGACTGCTGGCACGGCAAGTGGTTCGTCAACCAGATGTGGGCCAGGTGTGGCAATGAGGGGACAAGTGGACTGTCGACCACGGCGAAAGACAGAACGTGGGGCGGAGTTAACGGCGCTTGCAGCGCAGAGGAGCAGGGAAAGGAGGACAGGGAGAGGTGGAGAGCTTATTTCTAGTGGCAGAGCGGATTGGGAGATGGTTATTTCTATTTATTTATTATTCTTTTTTTTTCACGTCCTACAGACTCTGAGACGTAAAATTAATTTGAAGCAGAGTTTTTGAAAAAAATCCAAGATATTTCTCTATAGGCCCGTATTACCTGCAAAACGAGGGGAAATCCATACAGGTTGACATGTATGAGTTTGAAGAGAAGTTCTAAGGACTGATTGTGAAAAGTTAAGTCATTCAGCTGAGCTCTTTAAATGGCCTCAGTGTTTTTTTCTGACTGAAATGATTAGCTAATGGCTAGTGTGAATGTAGCCAAGACAAAAGAAATAATCTCTAAAATCTCATTGCAGTTCTTGCAAACAATCTTTTACACGACAGTTACATTGGGTTAGGTTTAGGGCAAGAAGCAACCTTGGATGGCACCTGGATGGACTATAAGAGCAGATGCTTACTGGTAAAAATGTTGCATTACTAAAGGCCATTTGTGCTTTCTGCTGAGTCATTCAGCTTTCAAAAGGGCCTTCTCCTTTAGTGCATGGGTACAGAACTCCTCACATCTGTATCTAAAGTTGTTCTTGACTAGAACTTCAGACTTGATGAGATCAACAGGTCCAGGCTCAGTCCAGGCTGCTGTCGTGAGAAAAAACACTCTCTCTACAGCAGCATTAGTGATGGGATGCTGAAGTGAAAGGTAACAGCAGTCATGTTTGGTGCTCTTCAAGGCTGACCACTTCTCCACAAGTGAAGCTCTTTTCTCCACATCTTGCTGCAGACGCAAAGTTACACACAACTCCTCGTACAGTTCATCCAGGTCCAGTTTTCACCTCATCTGTAGGACATCCACCATGTCAGTGAGATGGGATACAGTGAACTTTCTCTTGCAACATTCCCCTGGTAGTTTTCATCCTTATAAAAACTTGACAGATTGCACTTTTTTACAGCTACTTTCCATTCTAAAGATGGACCAAAAAAAGGCACTTTCTAGCTGTCCAGATAGCATGAAGTCTCTTAAAAGCAGGTCACAAACTTAACCATGCAGGTTAGTGTCTCAGCACACCATTCTTTTCTTCAACACACGTAGACACTACTTTTAGTTTTTCAGATTGTTGGGAAGATAGTGAAAAGTGTCACAAAAATCGTGCCATTCTCCAACCTGTTTCCTGTACGTTTTGCACAGTTGTGCACAACGTGGACCATGCAGTTCACCTTTATGACACAAGGATTTTCTGATTCTAACTTCTGGAACACAGAATAGGTTTTGCTGTGATTCACACTGGCATCATCAGTGAACCATGTCCAAGCTGTTTTCTTTGATAACAACCAGGTGACTCATTACTCACAAAGTCTAGAGTCTTATTCTTCAAGCCTACCTTTGATGTCCAGTATCTCTTAAGAAAAGAGGAAAAGTTCTGTCGTGTTGTGATTTGAAGCTTCTGATAACACCGAAAAAGAAAAGGAGTGTGTGCATGTTTATCAGCGTCACACTGAACCACTGGTGTTCAAGTCCTTCAAACAACTTTCCACAGAGGCGAGTAACATCACGCCTGTAACAATAGCTGCTGCTTTAGTGCAACCGCAGGACATTTCTTTGCTATTTTGGAGTCTGAAAACATGGTTGGTGCTTACTGCTGCAGTCTATAGACCTACAATAATTTTTAGGTCAGAGTAAAAATGTGTCCATAGATTGGCAGGTGGCTTTCTGAGATGCGTATCTTGAGCAAATCACTTTTCCAGCGTTGCCTTATGTCGTGTTCCCCTCCATGGGAAATTGAAAAATGACTGTCAAACTTCACAAAGAGCTTTCTGATAATCACCTGACCTCACCCAGTTAACCGTTTCCAGGTCTTTTTTTGTTTATTTGATGTCTCCATTATATTCTGCATGTATAAAATCCCTTTTGTTGCCTTGTTTATTTTACCAGCATACTGGAAAGCAGGTTGACCATAACAGGGGGATGCTGCTACAAATTTTGATTGACAGCTGACACAGCTCTGATGACTGTCTTTGCTCACTTTTCAGCCTCTGGAGAACTAACATTTCAGAAAAGCGCCTGTAACAAATTTTTTCTTTGACTTTTCGTAGCTTGACCCAGTCAAATGCAGGACATCATTCCAATTTGTGGGTCGCCAGATCTGGAGTGAAAAATATGAGACAGTCAAAGTCCAGCACAAATTGGGACATCTGTATGGTGATTGTAACATGTTATTGACAACTTGTTTTTAATTAAATGCAATTCAAAACTTTCAGTAAGTTTTGTTACCTGAGTCATTGTGTTTTTGGGGATTAGACGGATGGACGTGTTTTCGGGGATTAGACGGATGGACGTGTTTTTTGGGGATTAGATAGATGGACGTGTTTTTTGGGGATTAGATGGATGGACGTGTTTTCAGGAATTAGACGGATGGACGTGTTTTTTGGGGATAAGATAGATGGACGTGTTTTTTGGGGATTAGATAGATGGACGTGTGTTCCAGGATTAGATAGATGGATGTGTTTTTAGGGGATTAGATGGGTGGATGTGTTTTCGGGGATTAGATAGGTGGATGTGTTTTCGGGGATTAGATAGATGGATGTGTTTTCGGGGACTAGATAGATGGATGTGTTTTCGGGGACTAGATAGATGGATGTGTTTCGGGGGATTAGATGGGTGCATGTGTTTTCGGGGGATTAAATGGGTGCATGTGTTTTCGGGGGATTAGATGGGTGCGTGTGTTTTCGGGGGATTAGATGGGTGCGTGTGTTTTTGGGGGATTAGATGGGCGCGTGTGTTTTCAGGGGATTAGATGGGCGCGTGTGTTTTCGGGGGATTAGATGGGTGCGTGTGTTTTCGGGGGATTAGATGGGTGCGTGTGTCTTATCGAAGCTTTTGAGTGACGAGCCCCTTATACTTGGGAGCGGCTACGTATGCTGTTTTTTTTTTTAAGGAAATTGTGGTCGGTGAGTTTACTACTTTCTTTTACAACTTCGGTGATTTTACCACTTCTATTTCCTGTTTTCTTCTTCTTCGTTGTCTTTTTCACCAGTAGAAACAGCCGGTTGTTGAGCATGTGACTCCCGTGATGCGAAAAAAGTGTTTCCATTGCAGTTTTACGAAACACACCAATTTCGATACGGCCGAAAAACCACATCATCCTAGCGCAAAAACATTTTGTCAAAAAAGGAAAAATTTTTGAAATTGATGTGTTTCCACTGAGCAAATTTATTTTCAAAAATTCTAATTTGCACATTTTCATGGTCAATGAAAATGCAGCTAATTAGGGCTATCAAACTGGAAACTGCATCTATTGCCTACCGGGTAACTTGAAAATGATAGAATAACAAAGAAAATGTCTAAAAGGCAGAGGTGCATGAGGTAAAAGACTCATGAGACCTTTGGTTTTATTTCAGAAATTATTGAAATAAAATATCCAAGAGACAAAAACCAACCAACCAAACAAACAAAAAATATTAAATAAGTAAACAAGTAAATAAGTAAATAAGTAAATAAATAAATAAATGAATAAATAAAATGAGTAAAATGACCTCAAAGTGACAAAATGATAACAATAAAAAAAGAAACGACAATAAGAAACACAACAGTGTATTGTGCCACATTTTACACAAACAAGGAGTAAAGAAAAATAACACATTAAATGAAACAAAAAAACATTAGTAAAGAGTGTGAACTGATCTTTTTTAAACTTAATTTAACATTAACTTTTATTTAAAGTGTGGTAAACATGTGTGGTTAAGGTGTGGTAAACATGTGGTAAACATGTGGTGCCATGTTCTGGTCTGAAAGACCAGAACATGGCACCACATATTACAGATTAGACTGAACTAACATAAATGTTAGGTGTAATATTCTGTTTTTCTGCAGATCTTGTTCTTCAGGTGAAGAGGAATCATGAAACACCACTGCAGCCACATGCAGGACGAGCACAAGCTGTTCCCTGTTATTGACCGTCTTAGTGTCTGTTTTGTTTATCTTACATTATTTTTTAATAAATCCAATTATGTGTCAGATCGGCACCAACCCTTCTCCATCACAAATATTAGCTTGACAAAAAAAGCCCCAAAAGGACAATAACATCCTTTTTTCTTCTCCTTCTCTTCCTAAAGTGGCTGAATTTAGTCACTGCCGTTGTCCAGCCTCTGTGTCACTTGCTGTGTTCCAGTAGTCCTGGGAAGTGGTAATTTCCCTGTTCCCATTGGTTGATTTAAACTGGAATGCCCCCTCCAGTGGGAATATTCCACCGGTATAGTGGAAGAAATGAAACTGCCCCCAGTTTCGATTTCAAGATGGCAGCTACTCACAGCTTTAGAAAGTTAACTCAGTAACTTTTACTGTTAATCATCTTTCTCAATTTTTTGTGCACGTTTAATCACTCGCACAAGTAGTGCGTTTTCTGTGCAACACTGTTACGTATTAAAATCAGTGTTTATTTGCATGACATGCGTAGTAGAGCTCTCTTTTTGTCATTGCTTATATTGTAGCAGTGTTGTACCTAGGTTAGCAATTCAATTGCCTGTCTGCTAACTGGAATGCAGTTTCATATGGTTTGTTGGGAAATGACGTCACTACCAGTTCTGGGAATACGATGTAAATGGAACGCAGCAACAGTGTTGTTGAAATTGTATCTTTTCTCTGCTAAATGGCTGACATAAAGACTTCAGTTCAAGACACAGTTGTTTGGGTGGGGGGGGGGGGGG